GGGGTATGTGTGTGTGTGAGTGTGTGTGTGTGAGTGGGTGAGGGTATGTGTGTGTGTATGTGTGTTGTGTGTGTGTGAGTGTGTGTGTGTGAGTGGGTGGGGGTATGTGTGTGTGTATGTGTGTTGTGTGTGTGTGAGTGTGTGTGTGTGAGTGGGTGGGGGTATGTGTGTTGAGTGCGTGAGTGTGTATGTGTGTTGTGTGTGTGAGTGTGTGTGTGTGAGTGGGTGGGGGTATGTGTGTGTGTATGTGTGTTGTGTGTGTGGGAGTGTGTATGTGTGGGGCAGAGGCCTCACACATTTGTGTGCTCGCTCACTCATGTGGAGTCTTCCACCACTCTCCTTGTTACTTCTTAAGATAATGTCACTGAATTTACAGCTTTGGTGCCATTGTTTTTTACAAGGATGCTAGGGATCAAACTCAGGTCCTTATGTTTGTGTGACAAGCATTTTACAGATGGAGCCATTCCCTGGTCCTGGTTTTCTATACTTAAATTCTTTCTAAAAGATTTTTAACGTGTATGCTTAGGCCTATGTGAGTTTATGTACATCTGGTGTGCAGGAGCTCAGTTAGGTCAGAGGGTATCAGATCCCCTGAACTGGAGGGACAGGTAGTTGTGGGTCACCTGGCTGGCCTTAAACATACAGAGATCCACCTGCTTCTGCCTCTCAAGTGCTGGACTAAAGGCGAGCTTCACTCCACCAGCCTCAGGAAGTGCTTTTAACTGCTGAGCAATCTCTCCATTCCTTTTAATCTTTTAAAAAGACCTTTTCTAAGATGGAATTTTATGAAGATGTCAAAAGCAGAGTAAAGCCCGAGCTGGATCGAACACGGGACCCACCAGCCCCAGCTGTGAGCCCAGTGCTGGAAGCTCCAGGGACAGAAAGAAATCAAAGTTTAAATCCACAGCCATCCGTAATCATTTCTGCAATTACTTTCATTTAATCAAAACTTACCCACATTAAATCTCATTTCTTTGGGGTCTTATTAGATTGCCAGCACATCAACTTATTCAGAAGTGTATAAAAGTGAAATGTGAATTCAGACCCTGCCAGAAGGAGTTGATATTTTAATCTTGTCCTCATAAGAACACTGCCTGGAGGAACTGATTGCATTCACATGACCCTGTAGGTACTTCCTGACGCTTCCCAGGGGTGCATTTCCGGGGCTTCTTAAATGGGGATTCCTTCCTATAGAGGTGGGCTTTACACTACTATACTAATAGTATAGTAGTATACACTATTTTAAAAGACATTTCAAATGCTCTCTCTCATCATGTAGTCCTGGCTGACCTGGAACTTGCTGCATACACCAGGCTGGCCTCACATTCTTAGAAACTCCCTGCCTCTACCTCCTTGAATGATGGGATTAGAGACTTTTTATCACACCTCCCCATTCTTGCTGGGAAAAGGCTCTCTTCTTTACTTAAGAGAAAATTTTATTCCTGGTTCAATATGAAATAATCATTTAAAAACTGTAAGAGCATAAAATTAAGATGTCAATAAATGTGGCAATTTTATTTGCTTTTGATCCTGTATTTATGTGTAAGCATGTCTATAACCTACGAATGTTTGCCAAATTCTATGTACATTTTAAGTGTGATGCCTAATTCCCTTAAACAATTTCTTTAAAGGGTAATAATTGGGGTTACCAGTCCTTGATCAAGCAGTTTTGCCTATCGGTAGTAATTCTCCAAGAGTCCACACGGGGGCAGGAGATACCGCGTCCCACCGGATTATGGAGCAGGGTTTGTGTCTGAGACTCTGGTGTAAAGGCTTTTAGGGCCAAGCCCTCACCAGACCCTCTCAGTGCATGTCAAGAAATTCTCACTGTTTAAAAATGTTCCTCTTGAAAGAAAGCTCCGAAGAAATGAGTAGAGCATCTAAGACTAGGCTGAAACTTAAATCTAGCAATAATTTGCTCCTGAGAGTTTAATGTCACAGAGCACACACACACACACACACACACACACACACACACACACACACACACGAGGGTTGTGAGGACTGGAACACTGCCTTAGTGAAGCCTTCTTAACACAGGGTGGATTTCTGTTTAAAACATAGAAGGGAAGCTTTAACTATAGGAAATGTTGGCTTATGTGTCTGAATGGCTTGGCTCCTGGTTATATTTCTAACTTGCTGGTGACCTCCAGCACCTCCCTGTTGATTTTTTCAGTGTGCTCTCTCACCTGTAAAATGATCATTAAAGCCCTTTTGGCAAAGAGCTTTCTTCCTTCACGCAGTCCCAAGGCTGGTAACATGGAAAGAGTAGCATGTGCCTGAGGTTATCCTGAAGACAGGAGCCCACTCACATCCTTCCTGGTCCCCATCCTTGGCCTTTCTGACTATCTGGTCAATTGAAGGGTTGTAAGCCATAGGCAATGGGATCACCGTCCTGCCTTGCCTGGCTTCCTGCTTACTGGTAACTCAGAGCAGGTGGTTGCTGTGGGCAAAGTGAGTGAAGCTGCAGGCAGGCTGCCTTCACTGAATGAGAAGGATCTAAAACCGTGACTTGTCATTAACAGTGTGCTACCAGAAATGAAAAAGCACAAATATCCCATTCCCCGAGAGAAGAGATGCAGACAAATGACTGGAGGGTGACATCCACTCTCCGGTGTCGCTTCACGGTCACTGTGCAGGAGCAAGGGCACCGCTGGCCCACAGACAGCACAATGAGGGATTCAGCTGAGCTGGGCAGAAGGAAAGATGGAGACTGGAGGCCGACTAGAGAAGCCACAGAGAGAGGAGAGGAAGGGAGGAGGGAAGGCGGGTATTCTGGAGGCAATGGGTTCAGTACTAATGTTAAGTGCCAAGGGTGTCTCTAGATGGTGCTAATCAGAAGAACAATTGCACCAAAAACGCGGGAGCATGAGCAAGGAGATCATTTTACCATAGTGGCTAATGTCTGCCAGATAATATTTAAAATTTCCGTTCCTCTCCTCTCATGTCCTTCAGTGGGTACACGGTAATAAATCATCTAAATCCCAGAAAGAGGAAGGGCAGAGCTGAAGTAAACACCTTCAAATTCAAGACAGGTCAAGGGTGGCAACCATGAGCTATCTAACTCTAAGGGACATACAGTCGGTTAGGGTAGAACCAGAATCCGTGGAGATCAAGAGGAAAGCAGCCACTGATAATAGCCTAGAAATTAAGGGTTCGGACTCTGGAGCTATATCTTCTTGGGCCTCAGCTTCCCTGTCTGTAAAATCGAAATAATATAGCCCCTGTCTCGGGCTTGTTATGAAGTTGAAGTGAAAACTGTTGGCGAATGCCCGACTGAGAGCTTCTCTGTGGGTACTTGCCTCACTGAGGGAGGCGTGGAGGCAGGTGTTCAGGGCGAGAGTCAAGACGCTCCTAAAGGAAGTCAGAGTAAAGGGACTGGGAGAATCACACTGCCTCCTGCAGCTCGCTGCCAGGCCTTCAGGGTCCCAAAGAGGGGGGGGGGAGGGCAAACCCTCAGAGAAGCAGCCACCTCAGATCAAACCAGGGCAGCTTTCAGACTTGGCAAGAGCGGCAGAGCCACTCTCCCTGGGTCTATCCTTGGCTGCGTGCCTCTTGGCCGAAAGGCTTTGGACAAGTCAGTTATCTTCGAGTCTTCTTTCTCTCTCCCCTCCTTTTTAAATCCACGGAAGTGGGCTAACTGCAGGAGGACGTTTAAGGCCGGTGCTTGAGTACCCTTAGAGACTCTGGACAACTTCTGTCTAGTGTGAAAGAAGCAACCCTTCACCAACCCTTCGCCGGGAACCCGCGGGGCGGTGGGCGGGGAAGACATCGGGAATCTGGGGACAGATAAAGCAAACTCGTGATGGGGCGAGGCTGGGCTGAAAAGAAACAGATTGGGGTACAGCTGCGAAGGGAGGGGTCTGGTAGGGGGAAGAAAGGGTGGGAAACAGAGTTGGGAGGACAAGAAGAAAAGCCGGCGCGGGGCGGGGTGGGGGTGGGGGTGTATCGACTCGGAAGGAGAAGGAACTTGGGGAAGAAGAAAGCCCTGAAGGCAATCGAGACAGGAAAGGGGGAAGTACCGGCTCAGAAGAAGAGGGAGCCAAGCCCCCAAGGGGCCAGAGACGCGGGGATCACACCGAAGAGAAATGAAGCAGCTGGAACAAGCGCCAGAGGTTGGGGTCTGTGAGAGGAGAGGCTGGGGCCTGCAGGGGAGCGCAGCAGCTCTGAGCACCGGTCCAAACTCCGAGGTCTGGTGGCCTTTGCCTGACCTCGAAGGTCGGGAATAGACGCGGGTCTTTGTGGAAAGCAGCATCCTACCGAGAGGACGGGGCTGTCAGGGACTGGCCCCTGCGCCTGCCTTCTCCGGCTCAGGGCTGAGCCCTGGGGGTGCAAACCGCCGGTTTGGAGCGTGAGGCGGAGGGGAGAGAGTCCCACAACCGGAGCGCAGCCTGCGGCCGAAGCACCCGCTCCGAGCCAGCTCTGCCCACCGCCGCCGCCGCTCCCCGGGTCCCGGGATCCCCGGGCCGCCGACTCCGGGGAAAATGCCGGCAGCTGGCGGGCTTGATGGTCGGGGACGCGGCGCTGCGGAGGGTGGGCTTCTCCGTCCTCGCCAACCGGCCCCTGGTGCTGCGGCGTGCGGGCTCACGCTCTCCTGCCCGGGGACGGTGGCGCTCGGCTCCCGCTGGTCCGGCTCGCGCTCCCGACTCCGCGGGGGTCTCCCGGCTCTCACTCCGCCAGCCTCCCTCCCGCCGGGGCGCTGCGCCACGCCGCACCCCCCCCAGCCCACCGCCGCCCCCCACTCCACACCTCCTGCCCGCACTACCCGCCACCCTCCCCCCTCCCCGCTGAGCTGCTCTCCCTCCTCTCCCCCCCCCCCCGGCGAGGGGCGGGAGGGGGCGTGGCAGGGCCTGGGTTTGTGTAGCTGCTACCCGGCTCCCCGCACTCGGAGTCTGCAGCACGAACGCGGCCCCCGCCGCTGTCCAGCTGCTCTGTGCCTTTCGCGCCGGGGCTCAGCCGCCGCCGTCGCCGCTGCCTCTCCGGGGAAACTCAGCCACTTGCTCGCCATGGACACTCCTAGGGTCCTGCTCTCAGCCATCTTCCTCATCAGCTTCCTCTGGGATTTGCCGTGTTTCCAACAGGCTTCCATCTCCTCGTCCTCCTCCACCGAAGTGGACTCCGCCAAAGACGTGAGAAGCCGCAAAGAAGGGAGGATGCCGCGGACGCCACAACAGAGTGTGGAGGGCCGGACGCCCCGGGAGCACCAGCCGCGGCACAGTGAACCCCGGCGGCGGCCGCCTGGACAGTCTCAAGGGCAGGAGCCTCCGAGCAGGGGCCCGCGCGTGGTGCCCCACGAGTACATGCTGTCAATCTACAGGACTTACTCCATTGCCGAGAAGTTGGGCATCAATGCCAGCTTTTTCCAGTCTTCCAAGTCAGCTAATACGATCACTAGCTTTGTAGACAGAGGACTGGGTAAGTGGCCAAGAAAGCGCCCGACTCCTCTCCCGCTGGAGCGCCTCACCCAGAGCGCTGCCCAGGCTCTGGCAGGAGGTCGCTTTTGTGAATTCCCTTCCCACTCTGGACACCTCCCCTTTTCTCTTTCCTCAAGCCCCAAATTCTGAATGCAGCTGCAGATTTTGCTCCAGTCTGCAAACCTCTCCTGCTCTCTTACTTTTCTTCCCTCTTTTTTCTTCTTTGTTTTCTCGCCTTTTCCTGAGAGCATCGTGGTGGTGGTCACTGTTCTGGTAGCAAGGGGAGGAAGCATAGAGGAAAAGAGGTGGTGGGCAAATTAAGGGAGATGCGGAAGGGTCAGCGAAAGGACTGAGGGACCCTGTGACGAAAGCTTGTGAGGGATGCTGGCCCTAGATCATCTGGGAGAAAGCCTGGAAACTCCACTCTCTCAAGGAAAAGCCGGCACAAGGTAATGAATTGGTCAAGGCAGCTAGCGAGTCTAGGATCAGTGACAGGCAGTGCCTTGATCCAGCAGTTCTTTGGGTTCTCCTGGAGCCGTGCGCATGGTGTGGGGTCTAGTCCCTTCTGCCACCGCCCTCCCCCGCCTCCTCTAGCATCGCACACCTGATAGTTCTCAAGGCATAGTCCACCGGATGGGCCCAGGCAGGGACAGCTGAGAACGTGGGCTTCTTGGGGCTTAAAGTACTGCAAGAGTATGCACATCCACCTTTCCCAGACAGACAATGCTCTTCTGTAGGAGCATCTAGGAGACACCCCTCATTCGCTGTGCCAGTCAGGTCTATAGGATCCGGAGCTGAGCTTCCCCCCCACCCCCCTTGCTTCCATTGGTGATCCACAGAATAGCCGATGACTTCTGATTAAAGCTGAGATGTCCGGGAAGTTCCACAGGCTCCTAGAGAGGGAAAAGTAATCAGAGAAAGCAGGGAAGGAGGGGAGGAAAGGGAAAGGGTAGTGGACAGAGCGGAAGACACCGAGAAGGTAAGAGATTTAGGCAATCATCAGCTCCCACACCCCCAGACTTAGCTTTGGCTGTTCTTAAAGCTGCAAGCCCAGGTTCAAAGTATCCAGAAACCCAAGAGCCCTGGGATTGGGCAGAGGGAACTGCTCAGCTGCCTCTATCCGCCTGGAAGGTCTCCTATTCTCCAACCTTTCCAGAGTAGGTTAATGTTGCCCTCGCCCACCTGCCCCAAGCCTCACTCAGTTTCCAGTCACCAGCCTCCTTCTCAGTCAAGGTTCTGGTCCCTGCCAGGTACGCAGCTGCAATCCGAGGTCATCTGGGTTATGAGCTGCTGAAAGGTCCTGAGGGCAAATTAACGCTGCCGTATTTTATGATGATTTTAGGAATAATAAAGTCACCTTTACAAAAACACGTGGCTTCTTCGTATTGCTACTACTAGGTTTTGGACCTGGGTACTCCCACGCAGCGCAGTGCAGTTTCTCCCCCTGCAACTTCTCTGCTAACCTCCCAGCATCACTAACACCATCGCCAAGGAGACTGCTGCTGTAAGGGAAGAAATCCTATAGGCCTGGGCTCTTCTTTTCCTGGGAAGTAACAATCTCTCTCCTACACCAGGTGGGCATCCTTACTGGTTCACTACTCCCAGAGAGTTGGCACAGGACCAAGGGACACCCTAGGCTGTTCCCAGGTGTCTATAGACGACTTTGGAATTTCGGAAAGCATGAAAGTTTATTTGTCTCTGGGCCCCCTGGATCTGCTTAGACTGGAAATATTCATCCACCCTTTTGTGCCCTGTGGCACCCATATACCCTAGAGCTCAGGCACCATTCTGGGAACCCCCAGGCTCCTCCAACACCAGATAGGGTGTGGGGAGAGGAGGAACGCTGTTCCCTAGTCATCCATAGCCTGGTCATGAGGCCAGCGGGATTGTGGATTTAACCTCAAGATGCATTGGGCATAGGGCTGCCAGAAGTCCCTAGTTCAGAGCACCAACACCCAGAACCATAGCCTCACAGTCTCCTCCTCACCATCTAAGTTCGAAGGAAACTATACGAAGGCAGTAAGAACACTCGGAAGGCTGTGTTGCTTGTGGCAAACTGCGCCGGTGTAAAGGAGCTGGAGGGGGGGCAGAGAGGGACTGGAGGGGTGTGCGGAGGAGGGGCTGTATTGCTGGCTGCAGCCCCAGCTTGATAAAGGGAAAACCTCACTTTCTCTCTCACTGATTTTGATTTGATGTGTCACCGGCGGTGACCTCGGGTTGGACCTTCCGGGGCTTGCTTAGCATTGGGCCCCTGATTGGAGTGTTTCGACTCAGCGATCTAATTGAGGGTTCATGTCATAACACATCAAACGGTGTCTAGTCTCCCGTGATGGAAGGGACCCACTAACCGCGCATCCCCAGCTTCTGGCGAGGACTTCCGCCCCTCTCGCGCGGGGGTTCTTAACGTGCCAAACTCTTCGGCATCCCCTCCCCCAACTCCTGTGTGGGAAGGCAAAAAAAAAAAAGGCCCAGCCAGGAGAGGAGCCGGTCGTCGTGCTAACTTGGCACATTGCCTAAGGGAGGTTTAAATCGCCAGAGTGGTAGGCTGGGATCTGAGGAGCCAGGGTCCCTCTAGGGTAGGAGCCTCGAAGTCGGTTACAAGCTCAGAGATACTGAGAAACTCGCACCGAATTGGTTAAAAATTTTGCTCTTTGCTCCCCCCCCCCCAAGAACTTAAAAGTTATACCTGAAGCTACTGTTTGAGATTGGGAGGGCGGTAATAAATGCTGCATCAAGTGAGTGTGTGAGAGCTGGCTCCACAGAAACACCGTGGCCTTCTCTACTGTCCTGAGTGCTGCTCCCTGTTCCAATAGTCCCGAAGGAGGCCTTAATGCAAGCTTTGAAAACGCCCTGGAAGGGTAAATAACAGTAGCTAAGATAGATTAACCTTTTACTGTGGGCCAAGTACTGTGCTAAAAGCTCTGACATGAACGAGCTCGTTTAATTCTCCGCTACCGATGCTGCATTGCTTAGAGCTGAATTATGGAAGACAGAGAAATTTAGTTGCTCAGGGTCATACAATTGGTAAGAGGTGAGATTCTAGACACCGAATACTAAAGTGGGACACCATATGGATAGGGTAAGGACAAGGAGGCTTCTAGGAACTGTGATGAGATGCAGACATAAAAAATAAATTAAAGTGAGATTTTATTTTTGGCTTAATGTTCTTCTGTGGTACTTAAAAGTCCAATTAGTGGTTCTCATGGAACTTTGGATTCAAGGGTCTGAACATGTATCATGCCTGGCTGTCTCATGTATTTATTTAGTAGAAGAACAAACAACATTATGGACAATCTTTTAACATGCTTTCACATTGTAGCTCAAAAAGTATTCTAGAGAAGACAAAATGTGTCTGTGTGTTGGTGGGGAGCTGAGACCACAGGGTCAGAACGGACCAGGTTAGATATCATGAAATCACAGGTTTGGGCAAGGCAGACAATTAGAATTTAGGAGGGAAGGTGGGGAGAGAGAGAGAGAGAGAGAGAGAGAGAGAGAGAGAGACAGACAGACAGACAGACAGACAGAGAGATCCATCCTGCCTTGCAATTTTACTTGGTAAGTGCCAAATTGAAAAAAAAACAAAGCAAAACAAACAAACAAACAAACAGAAACTCTCAAGGATCCAAAGAGGAGGGAAAGGAACCAACTGACTTTAAGCTCTAAGAAACTCCCATAGTTTAGGTTTCCCAGAGACGTTGAATTGAGAACAGTTGCTAGGGTTGTGCTGTTGTTGCAAGCCTGCTTACAGAAGGAAGACAGCAAAGAACAGGTAACACCAAAGAGGAGATGGAAGTGTCTTTAGAGGCTGGGCATCCTCACGGGCCAGTCCAGGAGAGTCTGATTCAGGTTGCTTGCTAGTTTGTCTGGTTATGTTCAGTTCAGATTACAAGGAGACAGGGGTATGCTAGGCACAGACAGACTTCAGAGAGAGAGAAAGGCCGTTCTAGGGCTTTGTAGGTTCCTGTTGTTGAAGCTTGCCTGTAACATCGTGTTTATGCAGAACAGTGGGTTTCTGCGTGGAGTAATCAAGCCAGCAGCGCTAGCACTTTTGCCTGGACCCTGTTGTCGTTGGCAAACGGAAAATGAAATATAAGCAGGGAAGTATTTTAATGGGGACGGAGGGAATTCACAACTGTTAATTATTTGGTGACCTTGTATTCAATTTGTTTGAGTCCCTTATAAAAACACTAATTCATACCAGACGGCCAAGTGAGGAAGCTGGGCAGAAGGTTCCAATCTAGGCTTTATTTCCCCGGAAAGAGAGAACAGCCTTGGAAAGGACTTGCTAAGTGTGCAAGTGAGTGCATTTGTGCCTTTGAGGGGTGCCAGCAGAGGACTAGACCCAGGACTGGCTTTGGGGTTCAGGCTGAAGGATTTTCCCCAGCTGGGTTAAGCTAGAAGCCCCCGGGAAAGCTTGGGGAAGACAAGGAAGTCTTAAACTGTGTTACTCTTCTGGTTGGAATGATGCAGGTAAATGTAAGGCCACAAAGCAACCCATGAGCTTATAGTGCAATACTGCTACTGTCTTCCAATGCTTAAGGAGCACCAAAAGGGAAAAGCAAGATGCTAAAAACATGGAGAATCTGGTGTGGCCAGAGCGCAGGATTCTTAGCCAGAAAGGCTTATCTGAGGGCATCAAGGTTATTTATCCTCATCTTTGGAGCCCTTGGGCTTTGGGACTTTTGCCCAGGGTGCAGTGGCTGGTGGGGGAGGGGAAGGAAAACGTGCTCAAACACCTTCTTTGTTTCTGCACATTAAGAAAAACAAAATTCATGAGAGCCACAGACCCTATAGGTTTTATGAATTGTCCCTTTCCTAAATGAATCAGAACCCCAAAGCCGTCCTTTCTGACCAAAGCACCTGTCCCTGAATCCTCTGGATCTGGGATTGCCAGTCTTGCTAAGGCACTAGTTAGCATAACTGTTTTCCCCAGTAGGAGTTCTGGGGTGCTAGCGCACCTCTTCCACAGTTGGCTACCTCCTAGGGAATAGGGGTGGGGGA